TTTTAGACCAAAGTGCCATCAGCAGGGCAGACTACTGCCCAGAAGGAACCCACTACTTAACCTAAGACCTAAGTATAGTGTAGACGGAAGAAAAATAGGAGGAAGAATAGTGGTGGGCCAGCAGAGAGAAAAGAAAGGTGCCTGTGGTGGGTTATGGTGGCCATCCTCAGGACCCGGTACAGTGGCGATGTGGCTGATTGTCTTGGCCTTTGCTAATCAATCTCTTTGTTGTCCCAGGGACCTACAGCAAAAGAACTCATTGGCATGTCATCAGGCCCTTCAGCTGGATCAGCCCCTCCCCCACCACCTGGACCTCCTCCTCCACCCATCCCCACTAGCTGTGGCTCTGATGAGTCTGCCTCTCGGTCAGCACTCTTTGCTCAGATTAATCAGGGAGAGGGCATCACACATGGTAAGTGGTTAAGGAATATAGCTTTGCCATCTAGTCAGACCATCCTAACACAACATCCCATCTTCCATTGCACTGGCCATCCCCTGTGCCTAGAATGCACTGCTTCCTCGCTTCTGCTTCTGAGCATTTCCAGTTTCCTTCAAGGCTCAGCTTAAGTGCTATTTTCCAAATCCTAATTTCCTGATCCTTCCAACAACCAATGTCCTTACACCTGAAATTAACTTGTATTGATTTTGAGTGTGTGTGTGTGTATTCATATATGTACATGTTGTCTCCCCAACAAGGTATAAGCTTGAGGGTAGGGACCCTTTGGTTTCTGTCTTCATGTCCCTAGTGCGTGGGATGCAGTTGCCATGTAATGAGTTGCCATTTCTGGTTGGCACTGCAGGAAAGGTGGGAAACAGAAATTTGGCTCTGGAACAGGGTGAAGGAGACTTCCTTGGGTGCCCTTTCCAAAAGGACCACAATGGCTAGTGCTTAAATGGGGTGTAAAAATAGGCTGTTAGCCTGAGAGAGGGAGACTGCCTGGCCCTCGACAAAACTACATTCTTACAAGTCTGGCTGGTGACTTTCCCCAGCCCCCACAGATGCATCTCTGCAGAGAAACCTTGAATGTTCCCCGCTTCAGGCTGTCAGTTCTGCGTCCTGACTGGAGCACAAGCATTGGCATTGGTCCTGTTCGTCCTGGTCCCCTTCATCACTAACAAACTGAAAAAATGTCTTGCTCTTCGCAGCTTTGAAACACGTATCAGATGACATGAAGACTCATAAGAATCCGGCCTTAAAGAGCCAGAGTGGACCAGTGCGCAGTGGCCCCAAGCCTTTCACGGCTCCCAAGCCCGCTGGCGGAGCCACTCCCAAACCAGTTGCCAAGAAGGAGCCCCCAGTGCTGGAGCTGGAGGGCAAGAAATGGAGAGTGGTGAGTCTCGGGCCTGAGTGTGAGGATGGGAGTTGGAGGAATGAAACCTAAGTGTTTTAACGAATCAGCCTTTCTTGTTACACATTTGTTTGGTTTGGCAAGGCCCTCTGGTGTTCGATGTGGGGAACAGAAAAATGAAATCTAATTCTTGCCATAATGAATCTTATAATCTAGTGGGGGACCAAAGACACAAATCACTGTCCTATAAGTGATGAGGTGACAAGTCCAAGGAAGAGTTTAAACAGAATGACGAGCCTTTTGAGGAGAGAATAGCTTCTGTCTGGGCTGAGTGTTACGGGAGAGCATGCCAGCCAGGCCTTGAAGAGCAGAAAGGATTTCAGTGGGGAGCTGAAGTGCTGGAGGAGGCCCTTCTAAGCATGGGATGACCTGCCCGAACAGAAAGGCTCAAAAGGCTGGCTGAGTATAGAGAAAGAACCACAGGTAGTTTGCCTTTAGCTCGAACAGAGAACCACATATAAAGGGCAACAGTGAGAGTAACATGGAAGTGGCATGTCAGGCTGCCTCCTACAAGGCCCCCCATGTCCAGGGGAGGAGCTTGGACCTTGGTTGGGAGCCATTGCAGGCAGCTTCGCCTGAGATTCGTGCTCAGAGATCAGGAAGATTTCAAAGCAGCAGAAATGTTTTTCGTTAGTAGGCTCTAATGGAAGTGTTCCACCTTTAACAGGAAAACCAGGAGAATGTTTCCAACCTAGTGATAAGTGACACAGAGCTGAAGCAGGTGGCTTACATATACAAGTGTTTGAGTTCTACACTCCATATCAAGGGCAAAATCAATTCCATCACATTAGGTGAGTGCACACGGCCCTTCCACAGGGGGTTTCTGGGTACCAAAGTGTGTCAGAACCCAGAGTCTCAGCTAGGAGACTTTGTGGGGGGTGCGATGAACAACAGCCCCTTCTCTCTCTAGATAACTGTAAGAAGCTTGGCCTGGTGTTCGATGACGTCGTGGGGATTGTGGAGATCATAAACAGCAGAGACATCAAAGTGCAGGTAACCCAATCCCTTGGCTCCTTCTCTTAGTCCCAGAGGAACCCTGGAGACAGACATGGGCGCTCCACCACAGGTTACTTTGCATTCTCTTCCTCGATGGCGAGTCAGATTTAGCGTGGGGTTGAAAGCTGATCACTTGAATGGTAAGGGTAGAGGAGCGAGAGCCCCCTTAGATAACCTCTGCAGGTCTCCACCGGTGGGGAGCTGGCTTAGAGATTCGTGACCTCAGAATGTCGGACCAGGAAGGCACCTTGCAGAGCCCTCCAGTTCAACTCTTATTTCACAGTGGGGGAAATTGAGGCCCAGAGAAGCATGTGATGTCCAAAGTCACACAGCTGTCACAGGCAGAACCTGGGTGTAAATCTTGGCTTAGAGTCTTCTGTTTCCTCTCTCTTTAGGTGATGGGTAAAGTGCCAACTATTTCCATCAATAAGACAGATGGCTGCCACATATACCTGAGCAAGAATTCTCTGGACTGTGAGATAGTCAGTGCCAAGTCTTCTGAGATGAATGTCCTCATTCCCACAGAAAGTGGTGACTTTGTAAGTGCCCTCGCCCCTGCAGTTCTTGGGAACAGGGGAGGGAAACAAGAGTGGAAGGATTTCTTGAGGGGATAACCAGTCCTCTCTGGTTGGAGTAGAAAGCTAACTAACTGGTGGGAATTCTTCACGGAGCAGACAAAACGAAGTAATTCAGCACAGCGCCTGGCACAGAGTCCTAAGATGTGCCTGTTAATTGAATCCGTTTATCTCTGCAATCCAGACTTGAGATCAGAGCGAGGGATCGAAGCTGGAACCATGTGGCAGAACTTCCGAGAAGCCGTTACTTCTTGTCCCGTGGTTCTCTGAGTGGGCGCGTGTATGGCAGGGAGCAGGCCCGTCTTTCTGCTCTGACACATTAGGTAGCAGGGGCTGACTCACAAGGAATCATTACTGAGTCTAGGCCAGGGCCACCCTAAGAGCTGGGGTGAGGTCAGTCCCTGCGGCACAATCGGTGGTATGGGTCATAATCCACGGTTACAGCGCTGTGGCATTGCAGCCTGTACAGTCCTTTTTAGGGAAGGGTTATTCTTGTTCCATTTACCATTACCACCCCCCAGGCTCCAGCAGAAGTAGCACAGGTCCAGAATCAGACCATATTTCTCTAGTGCTTTATAAACCTAAAGGTTTTTCCGCCCCAAGAATGGCAGGCAGGGAAACTGAGGCTCCTAGACGTCCAGTTACTTCCCCAGCATCCCAGAGCTTGAATCAGTCTCTTGATTTCACGTCTGCTACTCTTAGACTGCACTGCTTGTTTGAGCTGAGTCCCTGACAGTCCTTTTCTCCTTATTTGCAGAACGAGTTCCCTGTCCCTGAGCAGTTCAAGACACTGTGGAATGGGCAGAAGTTGGTTACCACAGTGACCGAAATTGCTGGATAAGGAGAGTGCCACTGGGTCCTGTGCCCTCCCCCCTCCCAAACCATGGGATACACCTGCATTCAGATGATTCTCTTCTAGATTTCCTCTACCTTTCTGCTCTTAAAGGCTTCTCTTTCCTTGGAGAAGTACAGCTACCTGCCTTCACTGAATATACCTCAGGCTGAGATGTGGGGTGGGGCAGCAGGTCAGTTGGGCATCTGCATGTGATCTGCAGGAAGGTGCATCTTCTCCATGTCAGCTTGAACCACAGCACCAGTCCCTCCTTGGTGAACTCAAGACCCTTCCGGATGGGCTTCAGCTTTGGGGAGGGGGACACGTGGCTCCCTCTGGATGAATGGACCAGGTTGTTCCTGCCTTTTGGTAATGCTTTTCAGGAAGGTAGTGGAGCTGACGTGTAACCCCAGCTAGATATTCTAACCAAACTAATTCACTGGCACCAAGGGATGTTCCTGGGCCCTGGTGACATGGCTGCCTTGGACCAAAGGCCGGCACTTGGGCACACAGCATTCCAAGCCGACTTGTTTCCCTGTTAGCATTCCTTTTATCCACGTTCTCCTCTCATTCTGTCTGTGCCATGCCAGGAGGTTCCCTTGTACCAGCTGCCAGAGGAAGTCGGGGCTACAACAGACAGTCCACCCCACCTACAGCAGTTAGGTGAAAGCTGGGTCCTCTTCATGTGAGCCTTTGGGGTGTTGGCCAAGCACCTCCCTTCAGAAGTTTTTTAAAAATCATTCCAAGGAATCTGGCATTCCTTCTTCCCTTCCATTAACTATTATGAATCTTGACAGGCGCCTGTCATCTGTTCTCTTTCAGAATTGTCTTGGCTCATGCCACGTTTCTTGGCACCCGCCTTCTCCTTGTCCCTTAACGGTTTGACTTTTTCTTGGCTGGGAGGCTTATGGCTTTTGTTTATATCCTGAACAGAAGCATGAAGCCTCCAATACAGGCTGTTGCATGGGCTTGAACTGGATGGTTTCAGGCCTTGAATAGCTTTTCCTATGTATAAATGGTTTTTATTTTCCCTTTAGAATATTTACTAAAATATGCAATTTTTTTTAAAATTTTTGGTGGGGGGAGGGAAGGGACTGTCCTGTGACTTCTACCCATTCCTGAGGCTTGTGGGAATAAACCTTTATGTACTTAAAATTATACAGAAACTAGAATAAAGTTAATGCCAACTTGCTCACTTGTTGGCTGCGGTCTGTGTTGGTTAGAAAAATGAAATTGTTAAAAGACTGATACCAAGTAAGAAACCAGTATTTTTATTTTTCAAAAAAGCTGATAAAACTAAAAACTTAACAAGGAATCTAGGGATGGGTATGAGACAAGACGCTGTAGGCTTTGCCATGCTTGTTTCACCTCCAGGGTGTGATACACTTGTGCCTCCTGCTTAAGAGCCTTTGCATAAAGCAGTCCAAAGGGAGAGAATACTTTTATTGCACAATGAGAAGAGAGGCTTTAGCAGTCACTCTGAGCATGCTAGGAAAGCTGGACCAATTTGGAAACAAGTCTAATCTTCCAGGGCTTTAAGACCCTATTGTCTCCTCCCCCACTCTGCTCTCGTGCCCAGGCCACACAAACCTTTTATGCCAAAAGGCTTGTTTTCTTTGGCATCCTCCCAGGGGGAGCCATAACACACAGTGGGGACCACACCATAGGCATTCCAATCAAGTTCTCTGAGAGCTCCCAAAAGGCCACAGTATACCAGTTAAGGTTGCTCACTTCCTTGGTTGAGACTCCACTGGCAAAACTGAAAACCCAGACAATTCTGATTGCTTAATCACCTCATTTTGTTCTATTCTTGGTGTAACATCAAGCAGAGAAAGTTATTTCCAAGTGGAAATAGTTATAGTTCAGGTTGGCCCCTGGCAATTCACATTTTTGGAGAGAGGGCACGTTAAGCAGTTACTGTTTTGCTCCTGGTTTTTTTGCAGAGCAGTCTATAACCTAGAACTGGGTTTAACCACAGTCAAGGACATGTAAAACAATCCTCATACTCATTAGCTAATGCAACTTGGACTCCCTACCATATGGCAGTGGGATTAGGTCTGAGTAGAGAGCAGATAAGATGAGGATCTTGTATCTCCTTAGACAGTGTCAGATGAGGAAAGGAGTGACATGTTAGTTGCATCTAAGGGCAGAGTACAGTCTGGACTGACCCCACGCACACCCCCACCCCCCAAATTGCCATGGAAATGCTGGAGTGCCTATAGTTCTTGCTGCACTTAGTAACCTCAGTGAAGCAGGAATTTTACACTAAGAATGGAAGGAGATTTGTATAAAACCATTCTTCAGAGAATTGAAGGTGGTCCCCCTCTGCAGCCAGGAAGACTAGTTTGCCTGCTTTGTCCATTTCCTTAAGCCCCAAGCGGTCCTGAAGGGAAAAAAAGCATTAATCTTATGACTGAAGATCAAATTGATGGAAAAAGAAACGCTTCTAAACCTTCAGCCTGAAGAAGGCCAGGCATGGTCTGGGCAGGAGGGTAGAGTTGCATTTGTGCTAGAGGCGGGTGGGCATACAGAAGGGCTTAAATCCTGGCCCACTGTGGTGCTTGCTTTTTGGCACAACTTTACTGTGAAAACTCAGGTTTTTTTTCCTGCCCCTGTTCATTCAAGTTTTGCTCTCGTGACCTTGTAAAAGTAATTGGTCTGTACTCATGTAACAGTTAAAGCTTGGGGCTTTACTTGATGTTCACCTACTGGGGAGAGGGAAGAGGGAGGATGGCCCCCCACCCTGTAAATGGCCCAGTAAGCACCTTGGCCACATGTGTTTAATCTCTGGGCTACGGATTCTCTGAAAATCCTTCCCCCTAACACCCCACCTCCACTCCCATCCCACGCACATATACTCATATTTCTTGAAAAGTGAAATTCTATGTAAATGTGGGATAGAGGTTCTTACCCTAGGGTCCACAGACCCCATCCCCTCCTGAGGGGTCTAAAGAAATTTCAGGGAGAATCATGAAGTTGGATTGGGGAAAAAAATTTTAATCTTTATTTCAAAATAATTGGTTTCTTCTGTATTTTATTTTGTTCATTTTCAAAGCATTATTCTGAAAAGTAGTTCAAAGGCTCCACCAAACTGCCCTGATGCAGTAGGAGAGGTGGAGTTGGGATTCTCATCCCCATCAGAAGGCTTGGAATCCAGTGTTCTCACCCCACCCTGTAGACATACAAACATGGCAGCTGGCTCGTGGGGCCTAAACCGAGGAGTGGAGCCTGGGGCTAGGTGATGGAACTGCCCAGCACCCATCTGATGCTAAGCTCTTAATTATCAAGCCAGGAGACTGGGTTTTTACAACTTAAGCAAAATGGCAAACAGGCAGTATAGCCTGAGATTAGTGTGGAGAAACCAAGCTGTGTACCAGGTAACTATAAAATCAAGACCTCTGGTTAGGGGGAAAATCAGTTATTAAAAACCTGCCACAGCAAGCTCTGTAAAAAATCATCATGGGAAGAAACAGTGTCCTAGAGGGGGCCCAGATGCTGACACTCAGTGCTCTAAGTTCAGTTTAAAATATGTAGCAGCAACACTGCCCCGCTCCCTTGGGCTTTATTGCACATGGGCTGTGCCTTCCAAAATCAGAGAAAGAGAGGCCTCTAAAATGAGTCAGAGGTGTAGGTCATTCGGCTGGTGTGCACTCTGGCCAACTTGAACTGGGACAGATTCCCCAGTGGCAGGCGCAACTGCTGTGGGGCCTAAATACTGATGAAATGAATTCCACTGTAAAAGCCCCAGGCAAAGAGGCAGCCAAATTGTGTGTCAGAGGAACCAGCCACTGGGCTCCCCACTGCTTCCCTCCCCAAAATCCACACCCTTGCTCAAAACCCTGACATGTATTTGAAGGAGACTCCTTTTCTTCCCTGGCCATTAATTATGCACTTGGGGGTTTAGGAGAAGATTAGTTTCTAGTGCTCCATCTCCCAGATGGCCTTGTATTGGCTCTGAGCCCCTGCCAGAGGGAGCCAGCACGCAGCAAACACACCGTATGTAGCCCAAAATCTTTCTGTAAAAAGTAACTGAAAGAGCATGAGGGAATTTTTTTTTTCCTACAGCATAAGGCATGGGGGACTAATGATAGCCTGACATTTAGACAGTGCAACTAAAGCTGACAAAGTACTTCCCCCAAAATGCTGTGGGGAAGGCTTTGCTAAGTCTCCATTTAACACAGGAGGAAACCAGAGCTTGAAAACACGTGACTTGCACAGTATTACGTGGTTAGCAATATTATGTGCAAGCCGACATTCACAACCAGCTTTCCTCGGACTCCAAGCCCAGTGCTTTTTATTCTCTGCCTCTGACTGGGGCCTACATTTTGAGCAGTGGCCGGGATGGCCATCCCCCATTGCCTTTGCCCTCCCCCCAACTCCCCATTGGAGCATAAGCTCCTTGAGGACAGAGGCTGTATTTTGGTGCAGCACCCAGCACAAAGTAAGCATTCAGTAAATGTGTACTGCCTGCCCGATGGCGCAAGTGCTCCCAAGCCCTGAAGAAGGTTAAGGTGGGATGGATCGGACTCCTGGTCCTAGAGAACATCTCTGACCTGACGCTCACCACAGGATTATTACTGAAGAGCCAACAAACCCATGTCAGAAATGAGTCGGGTACCTCCAGAGAAGAAAGTGCCCAGATGGCATAAGGTAGGCCACCTCCTTACTGCACCGTGAGAAGAGTCACTCTGAGCATGCTAGGAAAGCTGGACCAATTTGGAAACAAGTCTAATCCTCCAGGGAGTAAGACCCTATTGTCCCCTCCTCCACTCTGCTCTTGTGCCCAGGTCACATGAACCAAGGGGCTTGGGGTTTCTATTTCACCAGCTTTGACTCGGGCCTGAAATGAGTTTTAACCCCCAACCCCACCCCTCATGAAAAAGAACTTTGTTGGCTCCTGTTACCTGTGTGTACAGGGAAGTGTTCTGCAAAGGGATGGTCTCCTTGGCTTGGCCACTTCGGTAGAATCCAAACCACTGTGAAAAAGGCAATAGGGAGGGGTGGACACAAAGAAGACACTCAGGTTAGTAGCCTGGCTCTGGCTGTCAGCCTGCCTGAGGATGGAAGAATGTCTCAGGAGTTATTGCTGGTGCAACCCTCTCATTTTACATATGGGGAAACAGGGATTTGCCCAAAGACTGTCAAGTAGTAAATAGTAAAGTCTCCAGTCTGAGCCCAGGTCTTTTGACTCCAAATCCGGAACTCCTTCCTCTGCCCTACAGGAAGTTCTCAGGTAATGGAGGCCAGTGTATCACATTTCCTCAATGCTATCATTATTCCTAATAGCCAGAATTCACAGGATGCTGAAGTTTTCTAAAGCACTCTGCACAGACTTGTCTCATTCCATTCTCACAAAAGCCCTGCAAGACAGGTGCTATTATCCCCATTTTATGGATGAGGAAACTAAGGGTGAGGGAGAGATTAAGTGACTTGCTCAAGGTCACACTGCTAGTAATATGCTGAGGCTGGATTCAGATTCAGTCTTCTGACTCCCAAGTTCAGCACCCTTTTCATGAATCTACCTCTATTTCAAATATTTCTAGTTTCATGAGGGTGGTTCCAATGCAGATCCCAACCCTCTTGATACCTCAGCAGACATCTTTATGAACTGCTATAACAATGATATCATCATCATCATCATCATCATCATTATTAATTAGCATTTAGATAGAGCTTTAAGGTTTGCAAAGCACTTTACATATGTTATCTGGTTTAATATCACAACAATCCTGGGAGGTAAATGCTATTATTATCCCCACTTAACAGATGAGGAGACTGAAGGTGAGAAAAGCTGAGTGACTTGCTCAGGGTCACATGGCTAGTGAAAGTCTGAGGCAAGATTTGAACTCAAGTCTTCTTTGTGGGCAACCTTCTGGTGAGCTTTTCCACACTTAGCTAGGCTGGTCCTGGGGGCAACAGATAACCAGGCTGTCTCTAAAGCCTTCCCAGAGCCTGTCAGGTCTTTGTACTGTGCTGGTCTGGTCTTATAAGATTCCAGCATATTTTCTGTACAATGGGGTCTTGGAAGTACATAGTAGGGGAGATCCCTTCCTAAAAATAACTTGGATTTCCTGTTTACAAACACCACCAACTATTATCCCTATTTTGCATATAAGAGAAAGGAGGCTCAGAGGGGGAAATGACTTGTCATGGCCACACAGCCCAGGCCTATCAAAACCAAAATACAGACCGGGGTTTTCTGACTCCCAATGCAGGGCTCATTGCCCTACACCACCAGGAAACAGAGGGCTCCTGAAGCTACTTCTAAATGTGTATCTTAGGACATACGCTAGAATCCTTCCAAGGCTGCTCTTTCCCCTTCGGTACCCTACAAGTTTCTGGGATGCCCGCCATCTCACCTCTGAGTCCACAGGGTCGACGACAGAGTCATTGAGGAACTTCACCATCACAAAGTTCTTCAGGGCCATCAGATTCTTCCTGTAGGTCTCATTAATGCCCTGGGAAAGAGAACAGGCTGTCATGACTGGCGGTCCCCTTGGAGAACCTAGGGGACGAAGCTCTTGTCCCAGCCTGAGTCACCGTCCAGCATGAAGAGGATTCCCTTCCCCATCTGTGTGGAAGATCCATCTTGTTGGATGACACGTCCTCATCTCTACCTCCCCTTAGGCCCAGCTTCTAGTTCTGTCCTCATCAAACCAGGGCATCAACAACTCTCTCTTCTTCTCAGACCCATTTAAAATCCTGCTTCCTCTAGGAAGTCTTCACTGAAGAAGCAGGAGTAGCCCTAGCCGGCAAAACTCTGCCCCATCTTCACCCGCAGAAAGAAAGTGGGGAAACTGATGGACAAACAAAAACCACGTTGTAAAATCAGGGGGATTTTAGAGACCCCCAAGCAGCTTAGCAAAGGTCGTGCAGCCAGGCCTTCTGAGCCCATGACCACCCCCAACACTCCACATCAACTGGATCTCTTTCCCATCTTTGTAAAGGTCATCTCCCCCACTTGCAGGGCCATGTTTCACATGGGTCAGAGGGTTGGGGCAAACAGTGCCATATGGCAAATTCATGTTGCTAAGGCTTCTGGCAGCGGTCCTAATACTTACCCTTTCCTGGTTGATGTCAGCCAAGAAGATGCTATTGTTGCGGTAGAGATCCTCCTTTATGGGGTCATGCCAGTACTCCGCTTGTACCAAGCTGCAGGAGACAGGAAAAGAGACGGCAAGGCAGTCAGTCAGACAGCCTGACAACGTGTAGTCTTTCACAGGTGTAGGGGCTGAGGGCTTGGGAAGGGCAGGGGCACATGGTCCCAGCCCTTAAGAACCCCACAATTACTTTGAAGATTGAGGTCTGGGGAAGAGGGGGCTAGATACAAGATAAACACAGGAGAGGACAAGTTCAGGAAGTCCTGGGCATCTACTTTGCTGGAAACGATGGGCCACAAAGATATATGAGACATTGTGTGCTCAAATATAATCTATTATGGTAAGAGCTGGAACTGAAAGAGACCTTAAGAAGCACCCACCAATCTCCCCATTTTACAGATGGCAAATGAGAGAGAGGCCCACATAGGAATGCTGAGGGGTATAGAGGTGGAAAGTAGCAGGGCTAGGATTCAAACCCAGGTTCTCTGATTCCAAATCTAGTGCTCTTTCCATCATATCATATAATCATAATCACAGGCAGCATTTACATAGTAATGTAAATGGAAGGAAAGGGAGGACAGACCAATGGTTATACCTGGGGGCTTAGAACACTTGGTAGGGATGTTACAGGGCAGAGTCTAATGCAGGGGTGGGGAATCTGTGGCCTTCTAGATCCTTAAGTGCGGCGTTTGACTGGATCCAAATTTTACAGAACCTCTTTTCCAATCTAGCCCAATATCCAGACTGTTAAGGTCTTTTTGGTTCCTAATTCTGTCATCCAATGTGTCAGGTGTCCCTCTATGCTTGGTGTCATCCATAGATCTGATGAGCATGCTATCTAGAAAACAAAACAAGGCCTTGTGTATATATCCCTGGGGTATTCCACTAGAGACCTCCCTTCAAGCTGCTATTGAATCACTAATGATTACTTTTTGTGTTCAGTCATTCAATCAATTCCAAGTTCACCAAATGGTACTGTCACCGGCCTCCCACCTCTCTCCATCTTGTCCACGAGAATAGCATATCAAACTTGGTCAAAGTCTGCGACCTCTCAATGGCTCCAGGTTCTGCCCTCGGGGGCTAGGCAGGACCAATCTGTCTTTCACATGAAAGCCGGAACTTGTTGGTCAAATGTGTATTTCAGGAAAGGGCTCAAAAGGTCAGAGAAAAGTTAGGGATGATCCCCATGGCCAGAAAACTCTAAAGGGAAGGGGAAGGAGACTCAAGGAAGGCTCTCGTGAATGAAATGCTGATGTCGGGCTCATGAAAAATCCTAATGAAGCAGAAGAAGAGATGTCCATGGGTGGCAATAGGCAAAGGACGTGTGCAAAAGATGAAGGCGGGGCACAGAGCTAAGGACGACAGCGGGAGGGCACCGCGCGGGAATCAGGAAGGCCGGCACCTGAAGTTAGCTGTGGCTCAGGGCAGATGCTAAGGACGACAAACAAGAAAGACAAGGCTGGGAAGAGCCCACCACTTGGGGCAGACAGGGCCCCTTCCAGGGCTCCCACACTCTGTGGCTTCCTCCGTGGGGGCCCTCCCTCCCTCACACTGACGCATGCTACCGCCCATCCCTCCACGCCCCCAGCAGATGATCTTCATGAATTTCACTGGCCAGAAATACTCCAAAGCCTTTTCAGCCTGGCAAGAACCTGAGGATGTGTGTTTCCCTGGTGTGAATGTAAGGGCCACCTGCAGGCCAAAGAGGCCACCAACAAAGGGGCGTGATTCAGCCCACAAGAAACAGCACACTCCTAGCACAATGTTGGGATGAAAGGAAAAGAACTGAGTAAGGCTTACTCTGTGCCAGCTAATGGGAAATGCAGACGGAAAAGCCAGCCAGTCCCCACTCCCAAGGAGCTAGAGAGAGGCAGCCCTTCTCAGAAGGTTTGGCCACAAGTCCCAAAAGGCCGCCTTCCCAGCAGGTGGTTAGTGTTGGCCTTATCCTCACTGTGACGCCTCACCACAGCCCTGGGAAGTGGCTTCTCTCACTTCCCCTATTCTACGGATGAGGAAATGGAGGTTATAGCTAGTAACTGCCTAAGGAACATTTGAACTCAGGTCTTCCTGCCTCCAAGTCCAGGGCTCCAGCCACGGCATCCCCAGCTGCTGGTGGACTCACAAGTCAGGTGACTCTTCCAGGATGCACAGCCATAAGTAACTGAACCAGAACTTCTGGTTCCAAGTCCAACAATCTCCCCCCAACTCCATCCCACTGTCCTTCTAGAGAAACGGGAGCGCCTTCATTTCTGATCAGCCACTGTCTTATTTTTCTATTAGAATGATCTTACTATCAGAAAGGCATGAACAAACACAGACACTCAGACAGAACCAAACGCCCAAATAACGAAGGGGCAATAAGCTTTAAGCTGCTCTTTACGTGGCTTCCAGTCCGAGACCCAAAAGAATGACCCCTACCGGCTACTTACTTGCAGCCCTCCGTCATCAATCTCTGGGGATTGGCAGCCACTAGAAAAGGGTCAAGGGACTGGAGATCGGCAGTGGGCTTTTCAAAAAGAGGGGAAAAATCATTTCGGAAATTACAGCCCAACATTGATGCTCACTTAGCCAAATCCCTACAATGATTATTAGATGGATGGTTTGTGGGCACTTAGAGAGGGAAGCAGCAATCACTGGGAGTCACAAGCTATGCTGAGCTGAAAGGCTTGCCAGACTAGCAAAGAAGAGGTAGGTCCCAAGTAGAATATCCAGGTTTTGGCTGACAAAGTCTCTTGTAAACAAACAAAGGTAGAAATGTGAGCCAAATGACCGGACGGTTCCAGGGAGTTGGTTGAGCAATGGCAGCCAAAGGGTTTTGGTTAGTGGAGTGATGGAATTGAGAAGGTTGATTCATTGAGGATCCCTACTCTATTCCAATCAGCATCAATCAATTTAATATGATTCTATAGGGGTAGTGATTATATTTATATAACATATAAATTATATAAATAATTAAATTATATAATTTATTATATAATATGATATAACATAATTATAGATATATATATACCCATATATTTTATATAGTTCTGTATATTTGAGCCCAGAGCTGTGAGCAGCAGACTGTAAATTAACTAGAGGCCCCCCATCTTTGTTTTTCCTTGTCATGGTAACCAAAGCCTAGTGTGATGGAGGTGACTCAACTACATGGAAAGTCCCCCAATTTTATTTTTGTGCCTCTGGACCATTCTCTCTTGTCCAACACAAGCAGGTGACTATCTTATGACCACTTAGTGGAGATGCTCCATGCTTTATCCAATCCGTGACCCTCCCCCCCGGCTAATATGTCATTTTTGGCCCTCAAGAACAAGGTCGGGGGATGGAGCCAAGATGGCAGAGGGAAAGCAGTGACTTGCTTGAGCTCTCCCCCAAACCCCTCCAAATACCTATAAAAAATGGCTCTAAACAAATTCTAAAGCAGCAGAACCCACAAAAAGACAGAGTGAAAAAAATTTCCAGCCCAAGACAACCTGGATGGTTGATCAGAAATGTATATTGCGCCAGGAGGGGAAAGGAGCCCAGTTTGGCCCAGTTTGGCCCAGTTTGGCATGGGCATGTAGGCTGCAGTGAACCTGGAGCAGGCCTCAGAGGACTGAATCATAGGCAGCTGTAGCGGTTTCCAGACCTCTCAACGCATGAGCACCAAAGACAACTTAAAAGGTCAGTGGGAAAAGTCTGTGACTGCGGTGAGAGAGGAGCTAGGTCCCAGCCGCAAGTCTCGCGGCTGTTTCCTGAGCTTCGGGCCCACAGGCTGAGGGGGAATTGAGTGGCTGATCAGAGGGGGATTACAGGGATCTCTTTGCCAGTGCTGAGGCAGGAATCTCTTGCTTTACTGGTGCTTGGATCTGGGTTGCAGTTCTGAGGGGCAATCCTGACGCGAGGATGAGTGCTGGTGTGGTGAAGTTTACTGTGGTGGTGGAGAGGAAACACCTCACCCCTTATCATAGCACCTTGGAAGAACTGAAAATTTACAGGTCCCTAGAAGTAGCTGTGAAAACATCTGAATAAACCCCTGAAGCTTGGGACAGTACATTCTCCACATTGGAAGCAGACTCTTACCTTAACAAAGTGTTTAAAACTCAAGTAATTGGCTGGGATCATGAGCAAACCTTGCAAAAAGAATCAGACTATATTATCTTACTTTGGTGACAAAGAAGATAAATACATACAACCAGAAGAAGACAACAAAGTCAAAGCTCCTACATCCAAAGCCTCCGAGAAAAATATGAATCAGTTCCAGGCCATGGAAGAGCTCAAAAAGGATTTTGAGAAGCAAGTAAGAGAGGAAAAACTGGGAAGAGAAATGAGAATGATGCAAGAAAATCATGAAAAATAAGTCAACAGCTTGTTAAAAGAGACCCAAAAAAATACTGAAGAAAATAACACCTTAAAAAAGTCTAACCCAAATGGCAAAAGAGGTCCAAAAAGTGAATGAGGACAAGAATACCCTAAAAAGCAAAATTGGCCAAATGGAAAAGGAAGTCCAAAAGATTACTGAAGAAAATACTTCCTTAAAAATTAGAATACAGCAATTGCAAGCTAGTGAGTTTATAAGAAATCAAGACACTGTAAAACAAATCCAAAAGAATGAAAAATTAGAAAACAACGTGAAATATCTCATTGGAAAAACAACTGACCTAGAAAATAGATCCAGGAGAGAGAATTTAAAAATTATTGGGCTATCTGAAAGCCATGATCAAAAAAAGAGCCTAGACATCATCTTCCAAGAAATTATCAAGGAAAACTGTCCTGACATTTTAGAACCAGAGGGCAAAATAGGAATTGAAAGAATCTACCAATCTCCTCCTGAAAGAGATCCCCAAAGGAAAACTCCTAGGAATATTGTAGCCAAATCCCAGGTCAAGGAGAAAATATTACAAGCAGCCAGAAAGAAACAATTCAAGTATTGTGGAAACACAATCAGGATAACACAAGATTTAGCAGCTTCTACACTAAGGGACCACAGGGCATGGAATATAATATTCTGGAGGGCAAAGGAAATAGGATTACAACCAAGAATCACCTACCCAGCAAAACTGAGTATAATCCTTCAGGGGAAAAAAATGGTCATTCAGTGAAATAGAGGACTTTCAAGCCTTCTTGATGAAAAGACCAGAGCTGAATAGAAAATTTGACTTTCAAATACAAGACTCAAGTGGAACATGAAGAGGTAAACAGGAAAGAGAAATCATAAGAGACTGATTAAGGCTGAACTGTTTACATTCCTGCATGGAAAGATGATATTTGTAACTCATGAGACCTTTGTCAGTATTAGGGTAGTTGGAGGGGAAAAAATTATATGTATGTATATATAGATATAGATAGATAGATAGATAGATAGATAGATAGATAGATAGATAGATGGATAGAGGGCACAGGGTGAGTTGAAGATGAAGGGGTCATATCTGGAGAATAAAATTAAGGGAGAGGTAGAATGGGGTAAATTATCCCACAAAAAAAAAAACAGAAAAGAAAAGGCTCTTACAGTGGAGGGGAAATAAGGGAAGGTGAGAGGGAATGAGTGAATCTTATTCTCATAGGATTTGACTTAATGAGGGAATAACATACACACTCAATTGGGTACGGAAATCTGTCTTACCCTACAGGAAAATAGGAGGGGAAGGGGACAAGAGAGTAGGGGAAGTATAGAGAGGAGGCAGACTGGGAAAGGGGGTAATCAGAAGCAAGCACTTCTGAGGAGGGACAGGGTCAAAAGAAAGAATAGAATAAATGGGTGGGCGGGATAGGATTAAGGGAAATAGAGTTAGTTTTTCACAGCATGTCTACTATGGAAGTGTTTTGCAGAACTACACATGTATAACCTATATTGAGTTGCTTGCCTTTTCAATGATGATGGGTGGGGAGGGAGAAAGGGAGAAAATGTGGAACCCAAAGTTTTAAAAACACATGTTTAACAAAAATGTTTTCACATGCAACTGGGAAATAAGAAATACAGGAAATGGGGTACAGAAATCTATCCTACCCTACAGGAAAATAGAAGGGGAAGGGGATAAGAGAAGGGGGGGAGAGATAGAAGGGAAGGCAGACTAGGGGAAGGAATATTCAGAATGCCTGCCATCTTGGGGTGGGGGGAGGGGTGAGATGGGGTGAAAATTTGGAACTCAAAATCTTGTGGAAGTAAATGTTGAAAACTAAAAATAAATAAATTTATTTTAAAAAATTAAAAAAATAAATGTATGTCGAATTGAAAAAAAAAAAGAGCAAGGTCTATCAACCAATGAGATTCTGTATTTTGCCACGCCTCTTTTGCACATTTGGGTAAAAAATAAGCAATGTATTGATCCATACTTTGTATAAGTCACAGAGGGATACAGTTTCTAATAGAAGGACCTAATATAGGCCTCAAACTTTAATGGAATGTTCATTACTTGTTTACCAGCTGTGGAGCTCACTTGCACAACCATAAGAATGTTGACAAAGATATCTCCATCCTATTTTGCTCAAATACCATGACCAAACCAAGCATGGGTGGTAGCATGGTATGCAAAGTTACCCCAATATGTTTTTGGAGCACATGTATAGCTCCTGCCTAACCTAAGGAGAAGCCCATCCACCTAGTCAGTGCAAATATTCCTTGCTTCACCCAACTTGTGAACAACCTGCTGACAGATCATTTTTGCTTATCTTAGCCTATATGTCATATGCCAACCAATGAAATTAGTCTGTATTTGGTATAGCTGTTCTTGAACGTCTAGATCTCTAACCCTAATAAAATAGGGCCCTGGAAGGAGGAGGAATTTCAGATCATAAGATCTGAGATCCACTTCATTAGAGGGGACCATGGACCCTTTGATAAAGTGCCATTGACTCAGAGCTCTGCCTCAGTCTCTCTTATTGTAGGTTGAATAATTTTTATCCCCACAGAATCCCCGGGAACCCAGGACTCTGTCTTTATTCCATCCCTCTTCAGCCTTTGTCACAATAGCTCAGACAAAGAAACAAACACCAAAAAAACATGGAAGAAATTTCCAGGTTATACAAGCCTGGCAAGGACAAACTAGCAAAAGTCTTTTGCGATCTCTTTATCCCTGGTTTGTTTAATAATTTCCCCCCTTTCACCATAATGCTCAAGGGTTCTTCTCTTCATGTTTACATGATGACACCTTTTCTATTAAGGTTGTGTGTCCACTGAAGCTTCTTATTGTCTAAGGTGTAAGACAGATAGTGGAAAGAACCCTGGCTGCAGGTTCAGGAAACCCCGATTCATATCGCACATCTGCCAGTTCCTTCCTGTGTGATCCTAGGCGAGTCATGGAGGCTCCTGTGCCTCAGTTTCTCCATCTTTAAAAAGAGGGGTTGGACTAGATGACCTCTAGGGTACCTCCCAACTCTAACTCCATGCCCTTGGGAGCCTAGGAGTCAAATGGAGCCAGGTGGGCTTTGCCAGGGAAGGCCCATTGTGCGGCACAAACAGGGGTCTGTTGTTCAGTTGTGTGTGACTCTGTCACCCTATTTGGGGTTTTCTTGGCAGAGATACCGGCGTGGTTTGCCATTTTCTTTTCCAGCTCATTTTACAGATGAGGAAACTGAGGCACACAGGGTTAAGTGACTTGCTTAGGGTCACAGAGCTAGGAAGTGTCTGAGGCCAGATCTGAACTCAGGAAGATGAGTCTTCCTGATTCCAGGTCCAGCACTCTTCCCTGCTTTACCTGGCTGCCCAACTAGGGGTCTAGGCTTCGCCTAATGAAGGAGTGGGTGCATCTGCTTTGACTCAACATTGGAAGCTGATGCTCATTCTCAAGTATGTAACTAGAAACATTAATGGCAGTCTGGGCTGGCTGTCCCTTCCTCTGGGTAATAACAGTAAAATGCCTGACATCTGTTGAGCAGGGGCATTCCCTTCAAGCCTATTTTCTCCCTGAAATCCCAGCAGCATCAGCCCAGGGAGCCCCAACAGCCTCAAGGCGGCCTCATCTGCATGGTTCTGACTGTACTTACCGTTCCTGAACACCCTTGGTGTAGGCACCCAAATTCAGTGTTTTCCTGAGCCAGTCACAAATATGCGAGCTCTCCCCTGGACATCGAGGAAGGCCATAAACACCTGCAGCAAGAGGAAAAGCACATGCACTCACGTGACGGGCCAGCCACAAAGGTGACCAGATGCCTCCTGGATTCCCTGGGAAACAAACTGATATGCTCGGGGAGCTGTCTACAGCAGGAGCCAAAGCCATGCCAGATTAAAATGTAATCAGAAAATACTGAACCAAATAAATAAAAATACAGGAGAATGTAGCTAATGTTAATATATGGTTTTCTAAATCAATATCAGGGCCCCTGGGGATCGTTATGTAGGGATTGTTGTTGTTCAGTCCTGTCTGACTCTTTGTGACTCCATGGACTGTAGCATGCTAATACTGTTTATGGGGTTTTCGTGGCAGAGAGTGGAGTCATTTGCCATTTCCTTTTCCAGTGAATTAAGGCAAACAGTTAAGCGACTTGCCCAGGGTCACAAAACCAGTGTCTGAGGCCAGATTTGAACTCAGGTCCTCCCGACTCCTGATCCAGCACTCTATTCACTGAACCACCTAGCTGCCTTCTTGAGTATGGATTAGTGGCCCCAATTTCTACCTCAGTTTGACATCACTGGCTTAGAGAGAACCCTGATGTCAAGTGACTTACCCAGGGTCACACAGCTAGAATCTGTGATAAGCAAGACTTAAACCCAGTTCCTTCTGGCTCCAAGGCCAGCTGTCTAGTCATTCTGCCAATATTCATGAGAACCCACCTTTGGTGGCCAGGTCTTATGGCCACATTCCTCAAAGAAGATTCTACAACTTCTACAGCAATCTCATCAAAAGCCCCCCAAATATTTTTAAGGCAGCACCCAATAGTCCAGGCCTGTGCCCCAATGTTAAGAAACAGCAAGGGTGATTTATAAACTATAAATGAAAAGAACAGCACGGTTCTCTAAGTCAACAACATGCTGCCAGGTGGCCTCTCCCTCTCCGCCCCTCCACTGGGTCAGAGGTATCAATCAGAAGGTCATTAACCAGCAATCCAGTGACTCATCTGTCATTCAGTCCTGTGGGAATCAAGAGCTTAGTTAACTCTGGCTCCCCTAATTCTATCATAGGCTCTGGAAGCAGAGTTCTGTAAGGCAGGTCAAGCTGCTGACCTGAGCCTCCTGGTGTTCCTAGGTTTTTATGCTGCCCTCCCGAGGCTCAGAGCCCTGAAGGAGCCAGGCAAGGAAGCGAGAATTACCTTGATGCTGTCCACCCACGGAAATCAGATTGATCATGGGAGGTGACGGACATCTCTGGGCCACTGCCCTCCTGTGGGAAGAAACAAATGGGTATTTGTGTGTCCAAAGGAAGAAGTGTGGAAAGGCCTTTCCCTGTCAACAACCCATCCCTCGTCCTACATCACAGAATCTTGGAGCTGGAAGGAACCCAGAGGCCAGGCTCCGCTCAAAGCTGCCCTCTGCAAAGACCCCTTCCCAGTCCTGCCCTCTGCCTGTGCATTCCTTCTGAGACTGGCTTCCATTTATACCGTATGGATCTTGTGTGTACTAGTTTGCACATTATTTCTCCCGTTAGAATGGGAGCTCCTTGAGGGCAAGGACCGTGTTTCTGCCTTTCTCTGTATCTACAGTGCTTTGCCCATTGGCTGGCACATAGTGGTTACTTAATGAAGATTTGCTGCCTGAGGAATCCCTTCTATGCCACCTCTGATGAGGAAGCCGTCCAGCCGAAGCTTGAGGATCACTGGCGGAAAGGGCCCGGTGCAGTCACAGGACGGCCTATCTACTCTGGGATTGTTTTGAGTGAGAGGGAGCCTTTCCTTCAGCCTTCAGAGGGAGGGGAGCTGATTTACTACAGACTTTCAAAGAGAAGTGAGCTCTACAGAGCAGACATTCCTGTCTGATCCTCTCCTGTGCCACAATGGATACAGAAACCTTCTTTAGATTAGGTGCTTCTCAGGTTCAGAGTACGATTACAAAGAACGTTTTTAAACTCAAGGTTAAATAAGCAAAGTTCTCCCCTCACATCAAGTCTAAATCTGCCTCTTCCCTCCCAGTTGTGCTCTCAGGGACCCAACAGAACAAGCCTAATCCCTGCTTAATCCTCTAAGGAGAATTCTTCCCTACTATTTTTACCACTAAGTAGATTAAAAGAACAATCCAATTTGCCAGGGCAGGTTTATCTCATATGACTAAGCCCCGCCCAGAAGTCTACACAGAAGGGAGATTCTAGACTTCTCTCCATCCCCCATTCCCACCCTTCCTCTTCTATCAGTAGGATCTGCACAGGTCATTTCCCTTGCCAGAAAGGTACCTTCCCCCCTCCCCAAAGGCCTCTATCCTCCAAGGCCCAGCTCCCTAATGCCCCACGACCAAAGGAATACTTCTGGCCTCACCTTTCTCCTAGTACTTTACCTGCATACCCCCCACCCTCCACTTGTCTCATTCTTTCTTATACCACACTGATCTGTGTATGGTGTCTTCTGGCCCTCAAGGCCATGGCTTCATCACTTTCTTTGTGTCCTGAACCGTCCTGGGCAGTCTGGTAAAGCCTGCGTACCCCTTCTCAGAATCATGGTTTTAAATGAATAAAATAAAATGCATGGGATTACAAGGGAAACCAATGATACTGAAGTATAGTGATCAGAATAGTATAAAATAAGCTCATAGACCAAACGTACAGACCCAGGCTCTAGAACAGAAGCTCCTGGGGAGCCAAGATGGCAGAGTAAAAGCAGTGTCTTGCTTGAACTCTCCCCCAAACTCCTCCAAATACCTGTAAAAAATAACTCTAAACAAATTCTAGAGCAGCAAAACTCACAAAAAGACAGAGTGAGACAAATTTCCTGCCCAAGACAGCCTGGATGGTTGATAGGAAAGGTCTGTTGGACCTAGGTGAGAGAGGAACATGATTCAGTCCTGGCCCTAGTGCAGCCCTGGGGCAGTGGCCACAGCAGCAGCGGCTACTTCTGGAGCTCTTGGCCCACAGACAGTGGGGTGATGGAGCGGCTGATCAGAGGGGGATTGCAGGAGGAATCTCTTTGCTGGCGCTGAAGCAGGATTCTCTTGCTTTGCCCAAATTTGGATCTGGGTCACAGTCCTGGGTGGCAGTTCTGGGGTGAGGAGGACTGCTGGCCTGGTGGAGCTTGTGATGGCTGTGGACAGGGAGTCCTCCTCACAGTTCCAAGGCAGAAAAGAGTGCTTGTGATTACTCACAGACCAGAGCACGGGCCAGGAAAGGAGTAAACACCTCTCCTTTGATCACACCACATTGTCAGAACTGAAAATTTACAGGTCCCTAGAAGTATCTCTGAAAACAGCTTCAGCTTGGGACACTGGAAGCACAGTTCTACCTTAACAAAGAGTTAAAAAGTCATGTAATTGGCTGGGAACATGAGCAACCAGAGGAAAAAAAAGACTCTATAAAAAACTATAGACTCTTACTTTGGTGACAAAGAAGATCAAAACATACAACCAGAAGAAGACAACAAAGTCAAAGCCCCTCCATCCAAAGCCTCTAAGAAAAACATGAATTGTCTCAGGCTATGGAAGAGCTCAAAAAGAGCTTTGAAAAGCAAGTAAGAGAAGCAAAGAAAAAACTGTGAAGAGAAATGAGAGGGATGCAAGAAAATCATGAAAAACGAGTCAACAGCTGGCTAAAGGAGACCCAAAAAATATTCAACAGAAGCACCTGGCCAGCAGGGTCTATGGGGATCTCTCTTTCTCTCTCCCCCACTTTCTCTCTCTCTCCTCCCTTAATCCTCACCCCCAACCAGAGTAAATATTTTAAAAATGTTTGTTAAATTTGGCAGATTTTCACTTGGTGAGAGAGGTTTTGAAACTCCCCGACCCTACAGAATCATTAGTATTAGTAACAGCTGACACAGCCCATGCAGACTTGGCTCCTTTTGGTTAATCTTACATCCCTGATCTGGGCCCTACAACAGCCCTGGGAGGGAGGTGGTACAAAGATCTGCATCCTAGATTTAGAGCTGGAAGGGACCTGGGAGGTCACTGGACAGAGGAGCAGAGGTAAACAGATTAAGAATGGGGTGGGGTGGGGTGTGTTCAAGACAAAGTACTAGGAGAAGGCCTAGGCCAGGGTCACAGAGCTAGTCAGGGCTGGAGGCGGGATCTGAAGCAAATCTTCCCGGCTCCAACTCCAGCACTTCGACCCCGTAGAGCCAGGGGTGGGGAACCTCTGACCCCTAGGTCCTTGGGTGCAGCCCTTTGACTGAGTCCAAGTTTTACACAACAGATCCTTTTATTAAGGGGATTTGTTCTGTGAAGCTGGATTCAGTCAAAGGACCTAGAGGGCCACATGTGGCCTTGAGAGTGCAGGTTCCTCACCCCTGCTACACCATGCAGATGCCTCTCTCTCCCTGTTTTACAGTTGAGGAAACTGAGGCTCAGTCAGGCTAAGTGACCTACTTGCCCAAGGTCCCAGAGGTGGCAAGAGGCGGAGCTGGGGTTCAAACTTTTGTCTGTTCCACACCTCTGATCAGTCATTGATTAAAGCCAGAAGTGGGGCAGTGGGTCAAAAAGGCAATGAGAATTCTCCAGGCACACAGGTGGCAATCTTAAAATTCCCTAAAGCCACCGAATCCAAGAAGGTGCCAGCTGGTGGCCCCAGGGCAAGTTTTCAGCCCTCCAAGGTAGAGAAATCAGGTTCCTCAAAGTTTTTTCTACCAAGACCCTGGGCAGAAAGAAGCATCTCCCAGAACCACAAGGGACATTAGGGATCCCTGAGTACAAGCTCTTCGTTTTATAGATGAGGAAATTCAGGGCCAGAAAAGAGTTTAGCGACTTGCCAGAGGTCAGGCAGATGTGAAGTGGAAGAGCCTGAATTTGAACCCAGGTCTCCAGGGTCCAAAGGAAGCTCATTTTCTACTGCACCATGCTGCCTCCAAGGGTCCTCAGCTCCAGGAGATGCTGGGTTGGGGGCCTTGTCTGGGTCTCTTGTGGCCACTATTCCGTGAAGCAGGCTCTCGTCTAGTGCACACTTAGCTCCCTAAGACAGAAGGTGACACCAGCTCGGCAGCCCCCAGGGCAGCCCTACTAGGGAACACCTGAGGAAAACCCGAGGGCAGCCCGGGTCTGGGGAACAGCAGACACCATGGCGGCGCTATTTTTTGTCTCAGCTTGACTCTTTGACCTGGCCATAGAGGAAGGAATATAAATCCAGGAAAGAAAATCAATTTTATTTACAAATTGTTAAATCCCTCCATGAAAGTCCTCTTCTAATCCCTCTTCAAGGCATGAAAGCAACCCTGAGATCTAGAAGGCAATTATACAACCAGCATTTTTTTTTAATTGGGTACCTACTGTGCACAGGACCCATGCTGAGGACAGGGGGAGAGGATAAAGGGAGGAAATACAACTTTAGATGGGGAAAAACTCCTGCCATCATGTAGCCCACTGTCTAATGACAGTTGGGCAGCTAGGGGGCGCTAGAGTGGATGGAACACTGGACTTGGAATCAGGAAAACTCATCTTTCTAAATTCAAATCTGGCCTCAGACACTTTCTAGCTGTGTGATCCTGGGCAAGTCACTTAACTCTCTTTGCCTCAGTTTCCTCATCTGCAAAATAAGCTGGAGAAGAAAATGGCAAACCACTCTAGTATCTTTGTCAAGAAAACCCCAAATGGGGTCACAAAGAGTCGGACATAACTGAAAACAACTTAACAACAACCAGAGACTGTTCACGTCTGGGGGAAGTGCGAAGGGGGTGGAAATAAGTGCTAAGAAACCACCAGACCACAGCTGAAACAAACAATATTTTGTAAATGCAGAGAGTAGCAAAACAAAGTGTTCTGTGAGGTCCAGGGGGAGGCCCAAACTCTGGAGATCCTACCTAGCTGGGGAGGCTTCAGGTGTATGACCAGTGACAAACAGGGCAACCATCAGGAACGACTGAGCCCACATTAATGAAAACACCTCTCAGCTGAGAGCTCTGCCTCATATTTTACTGGAAAAAAAAAAAAAAAAAACTCAGGCCATTTACCGAGAGCTCGGTCTTCTCCTCCCCACCTCCTGACACTCTGATAGCTTCAGCCACTGTCTCCTCCTTCATCCCATCTCACATGAAGAGGTGACCCTTCTCCTTTCACGTGACCTCATTCCATCCTGCCACCCATGTCTCCCCAGTCTCAAAAAATCCTTGCTTAATCCTTTTATCCCCAATAACTATCGCCCCATCTCTCTTCTTTTTGTGGTTAAACTCCTAGAGAAGGATGGATGGAGGCCTCCATTCCTTTCTTCTCAATCTCTTTTGCAGAGAATTCTCTGCAGTCTGGTGTCCGACCTCATCATTCCACTGAAAGGGCTTCCTCCAAAGTTAATTGCCAAGTCTAAAGGTCTCTTCTCAATCCTCATTCTCCTTGACCTCTCTGCAACTTTTCACACGGCAGAACCCTCTATCCTCCCTGACACCTTCTTCTCTCTAGGTTTTTGGACGCCACTCTCTTCTGGTTCTCCTCCTACCTCTCAGACTGTGCCTTTTCTTTCGCTGGATCCTCATCCAGCTCATTCCCATTAGCTGGGGCTGTCCCAGAGGGCTCTGCCCTGGGTCTTCTTCTCTCTATATATACTATTTCACTTGGTGATCTCATCAGCTCCATGGTTTCCATTATCTTTATGCTGACATTTCTCAGATCTACTTATCCAGCCCAGACCTCCAAACTCGCACCTTCAACTGCCTTGTAGACACGTGAACTCAACAATGGCTCCCCATCACCTCCAGGAGCAAAGACAAGATGCTCTGTTTGGCATTCAAAGCCCTTTGTAACCTGACCACTTCCTTCTTTTCTAGTCTTCCTACACCTTACTCCCCAACATGCACTCTTCAACCCAATGAGCTAGGTACTATAGACATTATGCTCATTTTATAGATAAGGAAACTGAGGTTCCAAGGTGAAGGGCCTTGCCCAGAGTCGAGGAGCCCTTCTTTGCGGCTCCTCACTCCAGGCATTATCTCTGGTTGTGCCCCAGCCTAGGATGCTCCCCTCCTCATCTCGGCCTCCTGGATCCCCCCTTCTTCAGGAAGCCTTTCCCAGTCCCCTCTGACACAAGGGCCTTCTCTCTGCCCATCATCTCCAATTTACCTTGTACGTATCTCATTTGTATATAGTTGTCTGCAAGTCATCTCCTCCATTAGACTGAGAGCTCCTTGAGGGAAGGAACTGTCTTTTGCCTTTCTCTGTATCCTCAGCACTTAGCACAGTGCTTGGCATATAGTAGGTGCTTAATAAAAACCTTATAGGCTGAATGACTAAAACAGATACTTGAGAGGCAGTGTAGCACAGAATATATAGTTCTGGACTGAAAAATCAGGAAGTCCTGAGTTTGAATCCTGCTTCAGATATTTACCAGCTATGAGACTCTTGGGTAAGTCACTTAACCTTGTGGAGTCTCAGTTTCTGCATCTGTAAAATGAGCCCAATTACACCTGTAGTACCTGGCCCACTGGGCTGCTGGGAGGCTTGAATGAGAACACATGTGTAAAGGACCTTGGGATTCCTGGTCACAATGAACACAGGCTGCTGTTTTTGTGAAAATACCAAAAAGTCCTTCCCCAGCAAGGCGAGAGAAAGTCACTTACAGGAACTGGCCACCCTGCGAGAATCCCATGGCGTTGTAGCCGTGCTGCAGCTGGGGGTTCTTGGCGAGCATCTCACACACTAGAGTCACCTGGTGATTCACGTTCAAGAAGAAGCTGTTCTCCATATCCTGAAGAGGAGAGGGAAGGAGGAGGGAGGAAAGAAGGGAAGGGGATAAAAGAGGAGAAGGGAGGGGAAAGAAGGGAGGAGAGGAAGAGGAAGCGAAGGGAAAAGGATAGGAGAGAGAGGACAAGAGAGGACAGCAGAGAGGAGGGGAGGAGAAAAGTGAGTAGGAAGGAGAGGAGAAAGGGAAGGAAGGAAGAGAAGAAGAGGAGGAAATAGAGAAGAGAACAGGAGAGGAGAGGGGAAAAGAGAGGAAGAGAAGGATGAGAGGAAGAAAAGGAAGAAGGGAGGAGGAAGGTACAGAGGAGGAGGGAGGAGGGAGAGAAGAGGAAGAAGGAGGAAAAGGGAAAGAGGAGGGAAAGGGGGAGGAGGAGGAAAGGGAGGAGCTTATGAAAACCAAGTTCCCACAGTCACAGCACTGTTAAAAGCCTCTCTAAGCTTCCCCCTTAACTACTCTGCTTCCTCTGCTCAAAGGCCAACAGAGTAGTTTTGAAGTTGCTGCTTTGCTATTGACTTTAGGCAAATCCTGGGCCCCCTTAAGCTTAGTTTCTTCATCTTTAAAGTAAAGCGAGGTGGAGGGTAGGGGGAAGTGATGGCCTCTGACAGGCCAGGGTTCTCCTATTCTACATGAGTTCTAGTTTCCTTCTACATTAAGGGAACAGAAATACTTCCAAAAGCCTGGCAGACACCCAGGAGTCCCTCCTTCGGGTCACTAAGAGTGAAAATCCCATTGAAAGCCCCAATAAAATGACCTTCTCAGGAAAAGTGCTAAAAGTGCTAAAAGAGTTCAGAGCAAGAATAATCATATGAATCGCTTTTCAACCAAAACAGAACATTTATCATGAGCTCCTCAGTCTAGCAAAGTCTTTCAGTGACTTAGCTTTGTGGATGTATTACCTCAATCAGAGTCTTCCCAATTTCCAGCGACAAAACATAAATTCCTGGTATTTTGTGCTCGACCATTTTTTTAACGGCCCCCATGCTCAAGGGGTTACAGCAGCTGTCTCCTAGACAGGAGAAGAAGAAAGAAAACACTTGAAGTTCTAGGTGTTATACATAGTCATCATCTATGAGCCTCAGGAGCCCCAACAATTTAATGGGGCACCAATGAGGTAGCTATGATTCAATTTACACAATCACGTATCAGACTTGGTGCAATAGAAAGAACAATGGCCTTGGGATTGGGAGATTTGGGTTTCAGTCGCAGCCCTGCCCTTTTCTAGCTGTAATTTTGGGCAAATCACTTCTCTCTTCTGGGCCTGTTGCCTCATCTGTAAAATGGGTAGAATATTCTCCAACAATAAGATTGAAGAGGAAATGTCCAGCTCTAATCCTGAGAAGGCTAATAATACAACTGCTGGGAAGAGACCCGGTAGCAAACAGTGCCTACTATTGGCTGTGACCTCGATACCGCAATCAGTGATGGTCCCTGGATGGAGTGGGGCCAGGGCCACCAAAGATGCCCTGGAATGGATCCAGAGTCTGCTCCAAAAAAAATCAGGGAATGTTTTGCCAGGACTTTGCTGCTCTATATTTTAACAGTATTTTATATGGAATCTATTGGATTTTATTGTATATCATATGATTGATATATATATAAAATGTATGTGTGTGTATGCTTATGAGCATATATCTTTTGGTGTGAATGACTGACTTCAATGGGAGATTTGGCTCATGTGTACTTTGAGACATTTAATGTACAGTAATAAAAGTAAATCTGATAATGCAAAAAAAAAAAACAACCCATGCTTCACATGTACTATCTTAAGATCGCAGAAGGGACCTTGGAAGCCATCAAGTCTTATCCCTTGTTTTACAAATGAGCAAACTGAGGCACACAGCAGTTAAGTGACTTACCCAGGATCACACAGCTAGCAAGTATCTGCGGCAGGATTTGAAACCATGTCTTCATGACTCCATGTCCAGCACTCTAGCCACTATTCCTCACTTCTTAGTGGCACTAGACTACTTATTTCACAAGATTACTGGGAAAAAGAGTTTTGTAGACTTCACAGCCCTATGTAAACAGTATTTTATCATTACTATTATGTGGAAGGCACTAGGGATGAAAAATCTCATTAGTCCTTGTCCTCAGTGAGATGCAGTGGAACAGGTAGAGAACTTTGGTTCATGTCCTGACTGCTTACTACCACCTGTCTTAGCTCGGGCAAATCACTGAAGCTCTCTGACTCTGTTTCCTCAACTGTAGAATGAAGAAATTAACAAACTAATAAACTGATAGCTATTGCACTATGAAGATGAAATGAGATAATACACACTAAGCACTTTGCAAACCATAACATGATACATGAATGTTAGCTATTACTATTATTATTAACAACTGAGTCTGTTGAGTTAAATGATTGTTATGGTCCTTTCCAAGTTGAACAATCTGCTTTAAGGCAACTTCTAGTTCTAAATTCTATGGACTTACATTTTAGTAGGGAAATACGGCATTTACCAATAGCCATAAGTTAGAATGCGATGAGTGCATAGGTCAGAAACAGAAGAGAGATGAGAAAGAGAGAATTCACTTAGAACTGAGATCAGGAAAGGCTTCATGTTAGATGCACCATTTAAGCTGCACATTCTCTTCCTATCTAGGGCCTTTGGGGTGGTAATAACGATAATCATCTCTTCCTCCACTGATACTCTCCTTAGAGTATAGAAGTGGGTCTAACTTCTCTGGTAGCCCTGGCAAACTGCAAAGACTTTGAGTGGGAATGATGTCCTAGCTAACCTCAGAGAGGCTCATCATCATAGAGGTGGCCCCAGGGGATGGATTTTTTCCCATCCAGAGATCTAGAAGAATTGGGATATATAGCAATAAAATCATAACTCCATGCCCCAGTGAAGAATCAGTTCATGTTTGCATAGCAATTTAGAGACTGGAAAGCTCTTTCACATCTATAATTCTGATAGATTTAAAGGTATATTGGCGGCTCTCACTTCTTTTTCACCCCAAGAAAATAGCTGTCAACCCAGAAAGAAGTATGGAGACTGAACTGTGGATTTGAAATCACCAAATGTGGTTTTCAAATCTCAGCTTTGCAACTTACTATCTGTGTAGCACATTAATCAACCAATCAATAGACATTCATTAAGCATCAACTATATGCCAAGCACTGTGCTTAGTGAATGAAATTGGAAAATAAAGAAAAGATACAATTCCTTCTCCTAAGAGCTAACATTCTGTTAGTTAACTCTCTTAACCTTTCTGGGACTCAGTTTCTTCATCTGCAAAATGAAGAGGTTAGCCTACATGACTCTTCTAGCTATGATCCTAATATATCAGGGCTAAAAATGACTCCAAGGTAACAGGTATTATGGAAGAAATGCTTGTCTTAGAATCAGGTTTCACAGAGCAGATTCTCTTGAAGGTTCATGGCAGGCTGCTAGGCGACACAGTGGACAGAGAGCGCTGGATTTGGAATCAGGAAGACAGTATGAATTCTGTGGGACCACGGACCAGTCTCTGAAGTTTTTTCACTTTCCTCACCTGTAAAATGAGGGGTTGGCCTCGACAGCATCTAAGATCCCCACCAGCTCTAAATCTTTGACCCTATGATCCTTCCCAACTCTTAAGGTTTCAGGTCCTGGCTTTGCTACAGTCAATGGATCAAGGTGGGGAAGCTGAACACCTTCCACCAACTACAGCAACGTATAAGTTCGAGATCATTGCTTGGGGCGCACAGGTTAAGTGACCAAAGTGTCAGAGGCTAGATTTGAACCCAGGTCCCGGCACTCTACCAGCTTCGCGCAGCTGGCATTTCCTTTGTAAATGCGGGAACTTCACAAGGCTGCTGACAGGAAGGCGTCTAGAAAATCTTACAGAGCTACCGAAATGGGAGGGGTTCTCATTCATTGAGGGAGGACCCCCAGAGGGGCAGCGGCTCGCCGAGGGCAGAGTCAGTTCTAGCGCCTCGGCTTCCTGACTCCTGGCCCGAGGATCTTTGCCCGGGTCCCCGTTTCCTCCACACAGAGAGGGACCCGGCAGCACCTGTCAGCACCCCAGCGGCTGTCAGAGCCAGCCGCGGCTGTCCGTCCCCCGCCCGGCCCGGCCCCGCTCACCCATCCCGTGCCACATGACCAGTGGCAGCGGCTCGGTCCGTGGAGAGGCGGAGGCCGGAGAGGGCCATCGGAGGAGCGCCGAGCTCAGCAGCAAGTGAATCAGCCTGGGGAACGCCATCTTGGTCCAATCACATGACCGCAGGCTTAAAGAGCCTGTTGTCACGGAGGCCCCGCCCCTCACCCTTCTGATCACCCAATCACAGAGTAGGAAGTGCTCCAGTTTCTCCCCCTCCCTTCTCCTGCTGTGTTCTGACTCTGTCTCCTCTCTACCCACTGCCTTCCCCTTCTTCCTCCCTTCAGTGGTCCGGGCTGTTTTTGGGGGCCTGTGGCTGTGGTTGGGGGCTTGCCCCCAGAAAACAATATAAGCATTCAAACCCTGGCCGGGTTCGGCGTGCTGTTGTGACTGCGCGTGCGCGTGCCTTCACCAGTCATTCTCCGTCCACTTGTTCTCAGGGGACTGAGGTTGAATTCCTGCAACATCAATCTGTGTGACCTTGACAGTTTCCTTCCATGGGCTCATTTTATCAAAATGAGTGGTGTGTGGTGCAAAGAGCACTGGATTTAGAATTTAAAAAAAAACAACGATCTGTGTTCTGGGTACTGACTCCTTCCCTTAACAGCTGCGTGGCTTTTGATAAGATCCTTTAACTCTCCTGGGCTCGTTTTAACAATAATAGCCTACATTTCTTTGGCACTTTGTGGTTTGCAAAGCACTGTACCCACATAATTATTTGAGCCCTCTGAAATGGATTCTTTTATTATCTCTATTTCGCAGATGAGGAAATTGAGGCATAACCGATTTGCCCAGGCCCTCACCATTAGGAAATCCATAAAGTTGGAGTGAGAAGCCACATCTTCATGGCTTGGCTCCCCTCCACGTACTCTTCGATCCCGGCGACACCGACCTGCCTGTTCCTCGAGCCGGACATTTCCTCTCCTCACGCAACCCTTTCCCCTGACTGTCTTTCATTCATGCAGGGAATGTTTTCCTTCCTCACTTCTGCCTCCTTCAAATTCCACCTGCAAAAGGCGCGTTCCTCTCCCTCTTCCTCACTGCAAGCGCTGAGATGATCTTCCCTTTACACCGAATAGACACACTTATATGCACACTTATTTGCGCGTTATCTCCCCCAGGAGCATGTGAGCTCCTTGAGCGCAGATGCCTTTCTTTGTATTCCCTGTGGTGCCTGGCAAATAGTGTTTGATAAACGCTGGTGGACTGACTGCTCTGCATCCCCGTCTGTAATAGGACCCAAATCGTTTCTATTTTTACAGTTGGGAGGTCGTTTAGGCCATCCTTATTCTACAGGAGAGGAAGTCGAGGCCCCCAAAGTTAAATTATTTGCTCAAGGTCACGCAATAAATAAATAGCAGAGTGAGGATGCGAGCCAAGGTCCCGTGACTTCAAACCCACCACTCTGCACTCTAACTCCTCTCCCACCCTTGATTGTATACAATACCACACTAAATCTCTTTGAAACTGTCTCTTATAATGACTTTTTTTTTTTTTTGGAAGCAATCGGGGTGATTGACTTGTCCATGTTCACATAGCTAGTTAGTGTCTGAGACCTGATTTGAACTCAGGTCCTCCAGACGTCGCCACCTAGTTTCCCCAGTTTCCACCGTTTGTTTTTTTTTCTTTAAGGACAGTATAGAGGGCAGCTAGGTGGTGCAGTGGATAAACCTAAGTTCAAATCGGGTCTCAGACACTTGACCAGCTGTGTGGCCCTAGACAAGTTACTTAACCCGGATTGCCTCACCAAGAAAAAAAAAATGTGGTTTCATACAATTCAGCAAACACTTAACTCCGGCTTTGTGTAAAGCCCTGCGCTAATTAATGAGTGGTTCCATTTTATTCCTCAATGGGAAATGGGAGCTCTGAACACCAAAGAAATTGTAAATCTTGTCCCCGTCCCTATCAATTTTTATTCAATAAACACTTATTTAACTCCTAATGTGCATAGAGAGTCCTGTGCTAGGACTGGGAGGATTTTTTTAAAATAAGAAAAAGTCTCTGACCTCATGCAGCTGTTTGGGATAACCAAGTGTGGTAATAGGAGTTCAGAAAAGGGAGAGATAGAACAACTGGAATATTAAAGAAAGTCTTTCAAAATTAGGAGCCAATAGATTATGTCTCTTAATCATCCTCCCATCCAATTGCTTATCTTTTACTGCCTTCTCTTCCTCATCTGACCCTAAATATGAGCGTCACCTCAGATTTAGGCCTTGGACCTCTTACGATTTTTAATGTTCACTTTCTCAGCAAATAGAACCACTTTCCAGGCTTTATCATCAACCTGTGTGCTAATAGCCCCCAAAGCTCCATCCCCCTGTCCAATCCTAATTGTGTACCTGAAGAGCATGCAGATAACCCATTTAAACTCTGGGAATCCTTATCCCAACTCCCACTTGCTCTGAAGAATTGGATTCCCCCAAAGCATCTTCCCTTCAGGATTCTAGGGATACCTCTGGGATTCTTCTCAACGTTCTCCACCCAAGCCTTCATTTGGACATATTCTCCCCAATATCAGTCACTAGTGATTAACAGCCCAGTTTCATTTAACCAATTAATATCAATTAGCTTTTACAAAGGGATATATGCGGATAAAAATAGAGCAAGATTAAAAGTACCTACCGCTCCATTAAACCCCTGGGCATATTCTCACCTACACCACCTCAATTCCCTAGGGAGAATGAGCTCAAATCAAAAGCATTTACCACGAGTTTTTCATCTCCCCACCGAATCCATTTCTGAATGTGGTAGCCTAGCCAACGTGTGATCGGGAACTTTGGCTATGGGGTCAATCTACTACCGACCTAAGTCCTAGTCACTCCCTGAGGCAGCTCACAAATTCAGCATGGACTCTTGGGACTGGACTTTTGTCCTACCACTTTTCAAGCATCTCCAATACTCCATTTAAGAGTAAAAGAAAACATGCAAAGAAGTAAAACACAGAGACACCATGCATTCAAAGGCCATGGATGGTTTGGGGCAGAAAAAGCTTAAGATCTCTTCTGGAATCTAGAGGCCTGCAGTGTGTCCTAATTCAATCAAAGCCCAAAAGAGGCTGGGAATCTTTTACATGCACGCCCAATTCTGAGTCAGTAGGCAACTAAAAGGCATGCAGTAAGTGGATTGAAAATGGTCATACAACTTCATGCACTTGCTCTGAAGTGGAGAGTTGGGCCTTTCATGCCATGTCATCGGCATGCTTATCACATGCTCATACTGCCAGCATTCATTGACCGGGCCACCATTACAAATGGATAGCCCAGTGGATTAATCGCCTAACAGAAATCTCTTCTTCCTTTGCCTCAAGCTCAGCACATTCCAAACTGAACTCATTTTCTTTTCCTCGTGTGCTGGTTTCCCTTCCTTACTCCCCTATTTCTGTCTAAGGGACCATTATTTTTGTGGTTATTCATGCCTGAAAGCTTTAAATTATCTTTTCGTGGACCTCTCCTACCTTTCCAGTCTTCTTACACTTTATGATCCAGTGACACCGGCCTTCTTGTTGCTCCTCTGGGCATTTTCACTGCCTGTTTCCTATGCATAGAATGTTCTTTCTCCTCCTCTATGCCTCCTGGATTCCCTGACCTCCTTCAAGTCCCAGCTAAAATTCCATCTTCTACAAGAATCTTTTCTTAATTTCCCCACTCATCATAACCCCATTTGAGGTTTTCTTGGCAAAGAAACTGGAGTGGTTTGCCATTTCCTTCTTCAGCTCATTTTACAGATGAGGAATTGAGGCAAACTGCCTTCCCTGCATTGATTAACTATAATTTATCCTGTCTATATCTTGTTAGTATATAGCTGTTTGCATGTTGTCTTCCCATTAGCCTGTGAGCTCCTTGATAGCAGGGACTGTTTTGTGCCTTTCTTTATAGCCACAGTGCTTAGCTCAGTGCTGGTACATAATAGGTGCTTAATAAATGCTTATTGATTGACTGACTCCCCAGTTTTCCTTATTCTACACATTCTAATCAATCACAAGTTCCTGTCAGTTTTTTCTTCATAGTCTCCATTCAAATGTTTGATTCCTTACTTTATGCAACTCCACGGAAGTCCTACTCTGAAGCCAAGTTGTGTTATAGAGGTGACCCTGGGTTTTCTTAGCAGAGCACAAGCTCAGGCAGGTTCTGCCAAGCTGAGAGAATCATAGTGGTAGTAGTAGTAACAACAATAATTACTACTTCTGTTACTACTACTACTACTACTACTACTACTATTACTGCTGCTGCTGCTGCTGCTGCTACTACTATTATTTATATTGTGCTTTAAGGCTTGCAAAGCATTTTATAAATATTATCTCATTTGACCTTCACAGTAATCTTGTAAGGAAGGTGCTATTACTATTCTCAGACTGTAGGCAAATCCCTTAACCCCTATTTGCCTCAGTTTCCTCATCTGTAAAATGGAAATACTAATAGCACCTACCTCCCAGGGTTGTTATGGAAATCAAATGAGATAATAATTATAAAATGCTTAGAACAGTACCAGACACATAGTAAGCACTATGTAAATGTTAGCTATTTTTTTTTCAGATGAGGAAACTAAAGCAGACAGAGATTAAGTGACTAGCCCAATGTCATATAGCTAATAAAGGTCTGGAGCAGGATTTGAGCTGAGATCTTCTTGACTCCAGGTCCAGTGCTCTGGGTACTGTGGCACCACCTGACTGCTACTTTCAACTATAAACCAGATAACAGACAATGTTTGCTCTTTAAGGACCAGCCTAGCTAAGTCTGGAAAGGATAATCACCACGTTAGCCCCCAAAGTAATGAATCCTTTGGCCACTGTGACTCATGAACCAGATAAAAGCACAAAATGACCCTCTGCCCTTTGAATGCTACTTCCAAAGGGAAGGTGCAGAAAGACATGGCGGTCAGAGCGGGTAGAAAGGGCTCTAACAGCTATTAGGTAGTCTACAACCATTCATTTAACTATTGGCACTCAACATGTGGTGTTCCTGCAATGACCAATGGGTTGATACAAGGTTAGAGGTATCTCAATTGAAATTAAAGTAAACAGAAGCATAAACTTGCAAACATGTTCAACTTATAGGTAAGGCTAGCAATTACCAATAAAATGGGTCTCTCAGCTCCTCAGTAAGTCAAAAAGACC